TTGAGGGTGATGCTTGCTGTGGGTTTGTCATATATAGCTTTTATTATGTTGAGGTATGTTCCTTCTATTCCTGCTTTCTGGAGAGTTTTAATCATAAATGGATGTTGAATTTTGTCAAAGGCTTTTTCTGCATCTATTGAGATAATCATATGGTTTTTATCTTTCAATTTGTTAATGTGGTGTATTACATTGATTGATTTGTGGATATTAAAGAATCCTTGCATTCCTGGGATAAAGCCCACTTGGTCATGATGTATGATTTTTTTAATATGTTGTTGGATTCTGTTTGCTAGAATTTTGTTAAGGATTTTTGCATCTATGTTCATCAGTGATATTGGCCTGTAGTTTTCTTTTTTTGTGGCATCTTTGTCTGGTTTTGGAATTAGGGTGATGGTGGCCTCATAGAATGAGTTTGGAAGTTTGCCTTCTTCTGCAATTTTCTGGAAGAGTTTGAGTAAGATAGGTGTTAGCTCTTCTCTAAATTTTTGGTAGAATTCAGCTGTGAAGCCATCTGGTCCTGGGCTTTTGTTTGCTGGAAGATTTCTGATTACAGTTTCGATTTCCTTGCTTGTGATGGTTTTGTTAAGATCTTCTATTTCTTCCTGGTTCAGTTTTGGAAAGTTATACTTCTCTAAGAACTTGTCCATTTCTTACAAGTTGTCCATTTTATTGGCATAGAGCTGCTGGTAGTAGTCTCTTATGATCCTTTGTATTTCAGTGTTGTCTGTTGTGATCTCTCCATTTTCGTTTCTAATTTTGTTAATTTGGTTCTTCTCCCTTTGTTTCTTAATGAGTCTTGCTAATGGTTTGTCAATTTTGTTTATTTTTTCAAAAAACCAGCTTTTAGCTTTGTTAATTTTTGCTATGATCTCTTTAGTTTCTTTTGCATTTATTTCTGCCCTGATTTTTAAGATTTCTTTCCTTCTACTAACCCTGGGGTTCTTCATTTCTTCCTCCTCTAGTTGCTTTAGGTGTAGAGTTAGGTTATTTATTTGACTTTTTTCTTGTTTCTTGAGGTAGGCCTGTAATGCTATGAATCTTCCCCTTAGCACTGCTTTTACAGTGTCCCATAGGTTTTGGGTTGTTGTGTTTTCATTTTCATTCATTTCTATGCATATTTTGATTTCTTTTTTGATTTCTTCTATGATTTGTTGGTTATTCAGAAGCGTGTTGTTTAGCCTCCATATGTCTGAATTTTTAATAATTTTTTTCCTGTAATTGAGATCTAATCTTACTGCACTGTGGTCAGAAAAGATGACTGGAATGATTTCAATCTTTTTGAATTTACCAAGACTAGATTTATGGCCCAACAGTAAATCACTTTGAGAGAAATACTCTTTCCTTGAATCTTTAAGGATGTGATCTATTCTGGAGAAGGTTCCACTAAACTGGAATTGTTGTTGCTGTTGTTTAGTTATCTAGCCATGTCCAACTCTTTTGTGACCCCATGGATTGTAACCCAGCAGACTCCTCTGTCCATGGGATTTCCCAGGCAAGAACACTGAAGCAGGTTGCCTTTTCCTTCTCCAGGGAATCTTCCTGATGCAGAGGTCAAACATGTGTCTTCTGTCTTGCAAGTGGATTCTTTACCACTGAGCAGCCTGGGGAGCAAACTGGAATATTACCCAATTGTTAAAAAAAAAAGAATGAAATAATGCCATTTGCAGCAACATGAATGGACCTAGAGATTACCATACTAAGTGAATTAAGTCAGATAAAGACAAATAACATGATATCACTTATATGTGAAATCTAAAAAAAAAAAATGATACAAATGAACTTAATTACAAAACAGAAACAGACTCACAAACTTCAAAAACAAACTTGTGGTTACCAACTGGGTAACATGGTGGTGGGTAGGGATAAACTAGGAGTTTGAGACTAACACATACAAACTAGCATATAGTGAAAGTCGCTCAGTCGTGTCTGACTCTTTGCGATCCCATGGACTATACAGTCCATGCAATTCTTCAGGCCAGAATACTGGAGTGGGTAGCCTTTCCCTTCTCCAGGGGATCTTCCCAACCCAGGGATCAAAACCAGATCTCCCTCATTGCCGGCAGATTCTTTACCAGTGAGCCACAAGGGAAGCCCACATTACTATATATAGACTATCAATAGATAATCAACAAGAACCTATTGTATAGCACAGGGAACACTAATCAATATTCTATAACAAGCTATATGGGAAAATAACCTGGAAGAGAATGGATATATGCATAACTGAATCACTTTGTTGTACACCTGAAACTAACACAACATTGTGAATCAACTACACTCCAATATAAAATAAAAAATTAATTAAAAAAAAGCAACCAAGGACAAGGCAACAGATATGAATAATGACTTGGCATGGATTTTGCAATCCACTAGGCAATGTTCAAAACACTTTCATGCACTGGCTCAGTTAATCCTACTAAATCTTATGAGAAAACTATGTTATAACATGTTTTCAAAGTTCACTTTATGGCACTTCTTTTATGGAAGCCCTACATTGGGACCTGTTTTTGCTAACCAAAAGAAATCGAAAGAGGATTTTTGTTTCTATGAAAAAGGGTAAAAAACGAAAACAGTGTTCCGCATTTATTTTGCAGGTAGCCTGGACCCCAAGCTGTGAGAGCAGCCCTGTGAGCTCCTTCCCAGGGAGATACATTCAACATCTCTGCATCAAGCCGCCATAGCTTTGAACCATGTCTGTGAGCTTCTAGGCTTCATCTCCATCTATGTTGTGCATCTGTTAGCAAGATGTGGCCTAAGATCAATTTACAAAAGGTGACATAGGAATGCTCTTCTTTCATACAGCAGGGCACATCTCTACCATCATCATCATGACCAGTTTACAGATTAGATACATAGGCCATAAAGAAGTCATAACTTACCAAACGTTACGCAATTAGTAATAATGGACTGGAATCCAAACACACAAGATTTATTTCTAGAGTCTGGGCTTCCCAGGTGGCGCTAGTGGTAAAGTATCCACCTGCAATGCAGTAGACGCAAGAGACAAAGGTTCCATCCCTGGATTGGGAAGATCCCCTAGAGTAGGAAATGGCAACCCGCTCTAGTATTCTTGCCTGGAAAATCCCATGGACAGAAGAGCCTGGTGGGCCCCAGTCCCTAGGGTGGAAAAGAGTTGGACACAACTGAGTGAGCACAAACACATGTGCTCTTAACCACTCTGCCATATTGCCTCTGTAAAGTGCAATCATAAAAACAAATTAAGATCATAACAAGACTAAGTTATGAATTTGGAGGTACATCTCTGAGCCCCTAAAACAGAGCTGCAGGAGCTTTTGAAAGATTATTCACAACTTGAATAATGGCCGGGGAAGAGGTGGATAAAGATGCAGGCTAGTTCCCTATATTTTTGTCCATATATGTCATCTAATATAGGTGCCATTCACCATCTCATTATTTTTAGCACCCTATCATTGACATATACCTTCACAGGGGGCTACCCTGGTTTGTCCTCCCTTGCACTGATCCACATTTCCATATATTCACTTCTGTATTTTACTGCTTCATTGTAATTTTAATTTTTTTGTTTGTATTCTCTTTCTTTTTTTTTTCCATACAATTCTTATTGATGTCATCTGTCTCTCCTTTAACTTCATTTTCTTTGCCTTGACATCTTGGCCTTTCTGCTCCAGTTTTATGAATGTCAGTCAGGTTCTAAGGTATTACTTTATTTCCAACAGTAAATCACTTTGAGAGAACTACTCTTTCCTTGAATCTTTAAGGTGTTTTTCCCTTTCCCTTATTCTGTGGTGCTTTTCGTCAGCTTCGGGTATTTGTGGTTTTCTGCTTATTTACCCTCAAATAAGAACACATCCACCTACAAGCGGTGTTCACCAGTACACTGATGATGGATTTCCCTTAGCTAAAGCCTCAAGAGTGGTAGCTTGGAATTGTTTTCCAGATCTACAGCTGGGCAGAGATTGGTAGGCACACTTAGCTCCTCACCCAATGCTCCCTCCTTGGCCAACTTGGGTCACATGTGTCTTGCTGGATTGAGAATGAATCTCCTCTTTCCCTGCCACCTGGCTCGCCAATACTCTGAACTAGTTGCTTTTGTTGTTTAGTTGCTAAGTCATGTCTGACTCTTTTGTGACCCCTTGGACTGTAGCCCACCAGGCTCCTCTGTCCATGGGATTTCCCAGGCAAGAGTACTGGAGTGGGTTGCCATTTCCTCCTCCAGGGGATCTTCCTGACTCAGGGATGAAACCCATCTCCTGCATTGCATTGCATTGCAGGTGGATTCTTTACCACAGAGCCCCAGGGAAGCCACATTCTGAACAAGAGAAGCAGGCAACGGTTCTCAGCTCTTCCCCTCATGTGCATCCCTATACTGCTGTGCCTGTGGGGACTATGCCTTTCAGAATCTCATGAGTTGAGACCTAGACTTTCTCAAACAGAGAAGGGTCTACCTATGAATTCAAGCTCCTGTTGCTTCAATTGCCTCAATAACGCTGACCCATGACTGTTTGCCTCCTCATCTCACCAACAGCTGTGTAGTTGGTAGAAATAACAGCTCAACTGTGAGGCCCGCTTTTCCATGTTACTGTATTGTAAGAAGTCGCAAGAGGCAATGTGTGACCAATCGAAGCTATTCCATGCTCACGAGGGAGAGGATCACAGCTTATTATTTTCTTGTGCGTGGTTGTGAGGGGCTTTGTTTATGAGCATCACCTGCTGAAGGATTTGCTTGCTGCTATAATTTAGTGAAAAGTATATATTCCAACTCCCCAATGGAAGCAAGGTGTGAGAATTCAAATATTGCATCTTCTCTCAGAACAATCATCTGCTTCAAGGGAACATAAGAAGAATACAAAAAGACCTATTTAGTGCTCAGATTATCACAGCAAAGCCAGTTAGATTAGTCTAACAGTTAGCCTGGTTGTTGCTTTGGATTCATCCTTCCATTGAGAATAACGTGGTAATGAATTAACTCTTTCCTGCCCAACCTAGTATGTGCTGATTGCTGGTGGAAGTTACCTCGGATGAAGACATTCAACATGTGTTCAACCAGGACTTTTCGTGGGCCTCATGGAGAGTATGATCAGGTTGGAGAGACAAACATTAAGTAAAAACAAAAAAAACCATACATAATTGTTAATTATGGAAATACTAAAAAGGAAACCAAATAGGTACAATGGGAAAGGACCAAAGTTAGAGTTCAGGATGATCTTTCCAAGGAAGGGTGATTTAGGTTGCAGTAGAAGTAATTCAGGCAATGAATGAAGACAAGCTATTCCAAGTTGAAGGAACAGCATGTACAAAGTAATGAGGCAGGAGAACATGGCAGGTTTGAGAGACTGAAAGAAGGCCAGGGCAGTTGGAGGTTAGTGAGTAGGAGGGAGAGTCTTACCGAAAGAAATGGGACATGAACAGCTGTTGAGGGCATTTGGGGGAATCACAAAAGATGAATAAGTGCATTGCCAAGGAGCAGTGTGGTCCCTTAAACTTAACACAAATTAATGCTGATCCAAGTCAGCACAGTTTTGGAACTTTCTCCAGCAAAATCCTATCACTCTGTCTGTCTTTCAGTTTTGCCTGTTAAGGAGACGTGGGGAAACCCAGCTTTACCCTTGGTGATGGTCTCCCTGCTCTCTTCCCCCTGCATTTCTTTCATTTGTGCTGGAAGACCTACTTAACCCCTTAAATCATATTCTGGGAATACACTATCCTAAGCAGAGAGATTATTGGAAAACTGTCAATGGGTCTGTGACTCTGAACTGAGCTGGCTTTGATACTGAATCCCAGTTTGTACCACTCACCACAAAACAGACCAAAAAATCAAGAGAAGCATTGGGGAGCAGGTAACAGCAACTTTATTTGGAAAGCCAGCAGATGGAGAAGATAGTGGACTTATGTTCCAAAGAACCCTCTTGCCTGATTAGAATCCAGGCTTCTTTTATATTGAAGGAGGAAGGAATAAAGTCAAACATTTCTTGGTTCTAGTCTGCATCTGGAGGGGATGTATTCATTTCTTCTTGTCTGCAGTCATTCACAGATGGACCTGGTCAGGATGTTTCCTGTGAGCTAAACAAAGGTATTTCAGCTTAATGCTCATTACCTCAGAGGCAGGGTTCCCAGAGATGGGGCATATGATGTGTAATCTTTAGTGATTGTGTGCTTGCATGCATGCTAAATTGCTTCAGCCATGTCTGACTCTTTGCAACCCTACGGACTGCAACCCACCAGGCTCCTCTGTCCGTGGGATTATACTGGAGTGGGTTGCCATGCTCTCTTCCAGAGGGTCTTCCCAACCCAGGCATTGAACATGCATCTCTTATGCCTCCGGCATTGTCAGGCGGGTTCTTTACCACTAGTGCCACCTGAGAAGTCCATCTTTAGTGATGAGCTTTTGGCAAAAGCAATAGAATACCCAGGTTAAAGTAACAGATCGGGTATGGAGTCAGATTTATTCTTCCCTATTATAGTTTCTGATAGTGTCTCTCATCCCATTCTCATTCATCTCCTTCCCCATGGGAATGGGATGACCTTTCAGTAATCTGGCTTTACTAGAACCACCTCCAATATATTGCTCAACTCTCAGTTTCCATTTTGAGAAACTCATGTCCCATCTCTGCTTACCTTTAGAATAAAAGCCATGATCTTATTTTTATAAACCTTTAATTTTTGTCCAATCATTCACCTGGGCTCCTGGTACTAGAAAGCCCCTGCGGTTATACAGAGAGCATTATCTTATGACAGTTTTAATCCTTCCAATAAAATCTTGTAGAGTTAACCTAATCTCTTCCACTTGCACTTGAAACTAATTTCCTATTGTTCAGACCTTGGTAGAAACCAGATGATTTGGTCACAACCTTCCCTGTGGAGTCAATATTCGTGTTACAAAAAAATAATTAAATCACCCCATTCAACCTTCCTTTTGCTAGACTAATTTAAATCCCTTAAACTTTTTTTCCCCTGTTTTGGTCACATACTTAGACCTTACATATTTAAGGGCTTTCAAGGGCAAGTCTTCCTATTTACCACAGTAAAAGCTTTCCAAAAATGATAACAGCCACAAGGACAACAATACCTTGCAACTTGATGGCACTTAACTTTTTGCCTAGTGCTTTTTTTGCACATACATTATCTTATTTTGTCTGCTTAATGACTCTGTGAATCAGGGAGGGTGGATGTTATTATCTCCCTGGGGAAAAAATAAAACAAAACTCAGCCTTAATTTGCTCCTGTAGAGAGTCAGGATCAAGTTGGACCAACGTGAGGCTTCAGCCACATCACTACAGTCTCCCTCTAAGCCCTTTGCTGACTTGCTCCTTGTGCAATGCCTTCGCCTTTTATCAAAGGTCACCCAAGGATGAGAATAGCCAACCTTTGTTGAGAGTTTAATATTATGTCAGATATTGTGCTCCCTAAGTGCTTTAAAAGCATTATCTTTCAACTCTCATGACAAAGGGGATGGTTCTATTATTATCCCTGTTGCTCAGAAGACTAACGTGAAGCTCAGAGAGGTTAAGGAATGCATCCAGGATGCCACAGCTTCAGTGACACAGGCAGGGTTCAAAGTCAGGCGTGTGTGGCTCCCCACCGTGTGCTCTCAGGGATGGTGGTCCAGCGGTTAAGAATCTGCCTGCCAAAGCAGTGGACACGGGTTTGAGCCCTGGCCTGGGAAGATTGCACCTGGCTTGGGGGAACTAGCCCTTGTGACACCACAACTGAAGCCTGTGTGCCCTGAGCTCATGCTCCACAACAAGAGAAGACCCCGCAGTGAGAAGTCCAGGCACTGCAGCTAGAGAGTGCCCCTCCTCACTGCAACTAGAGAGAAGCCTGCACACAGCAACGAAGACTCAGCACAGCCAAAGTAAATACATAAATAACTTTTATAAAAAAGCTTTTGTAAAAAAAAACACTAGAAATGATGCAGTGCTGCCTCAGGAACCCACAGACCAGATCCCCATGTGTTTGCTGTGAACCTCTTGGGAAGAACATTGCTGCTGCTGCTGCTAAGTCACTTCAGTCATGTCCAACTCTGTGCGACCCCATAGACGGCAGCCCACCAGGCTCCTCTGTCCCTGGGATTCTCCAGGCAAGAATACTGGAGTGGGTTGCCATTTCCTTCTCCAAGGACATTTGTCAGCCTATGAAATCTTCCTAGCTAAGGACCCTGTTTGGAAAACTCTCAAAATTTACCACTAGGAAGAACAGGCCTTCCATGAAGGGATGGGGTTTTTGTGGAAGTTGACTTCTGTGTTTGGTGCCATTTTGTGTTTTTACTTCCTGTTAATGAAAAGAAATGTGTTTCATGTGTTATCATGAAAAAATAGTAATGGGTGTCCCAGGTGGTGCCAGTGGTAAAGAATCCACTTACCAATGCAGGAGACACAAGAGACGTGGGTTCAATCCCTGGGTTGGGAAGATCCCCTGGAATAGGAAATGGCAACCCATTCCTATTTCCAGGGAAGTATCCTTGCCTGGATACTTCCGGATTTTGCCAAAATCACTGCAAATGGTGACTGCAGCCATGAAATTGAAAGATGCTTACTCCTTGGAAGGAAAGTTATGACCAACCTAGACAGCATATTAAAAAGCAGAGACATTACTTTGCCAACAAAGGTCTGCCTAGTCAAGTCTATGGTTTTTCCAGTGGCCATGTATAGATGTGAGATTTGGACTGTGAAGAAAGCTGAGCGCAGAAGAATTGATGCTTTCAAACTGTGGTGTTAGAGAAGACTCTTGAGAGTCCCTTGGACTGCAAGGAGATCCAACCAGTCCATCCTAAAGGAGATGAGTCCTGGGTGTTCATTGGAAGGACTGATGCTGAAGCTGAAACTCCAATACTTTGGCCAGCTGATACAAAGAGCTGACTCATTGGAAAAGACCCTGATGCTGGGAGGGGTTGGGGGCAGGAGAAGAAGGGGATGGCAGAGGATGAGATGGCTGGATGGCATCACCGCCTCAATGGACATGAGTTTGAGTAAACTCCGGGAGTTGGTGATGGACAGGGAGGCCTGGTGTGCTGCGATTCATGGGGTCGCAAAGAATCAGACACGACTGAGCTACTGAACTGAACTGAACTGATCCTTGCCTGGAAAATTCCATGGACAGAGGAGCTTGGTGGGCCCTGTCCATGGGGTGGCAGGGTCAGACACAACTGAGCATGCATGCACTACATTACACAAGAATTAGAAATAATTGACTTTGAATGCTCTCTGGGAATCAGAACTTGATGGGCTTAGGTGCAGCTCTGCTGACTTATGTGACTTCATTCGAGTTGCTTTCTCTCTTTGAGCCTTGGTTTAATTTATGAAATGAGTATACTAATAGCAAACTTTGGCTTCCCAGGTGGTTCAGTGGTAAGGAATCCTCCTGCCAATGCAGGAGACACAGGTTTGATCCCTGGGTTGGGAAGATCCCCTGGAGAAGGAAATGGGAACCCAGTCCAGTACTCTTGCCTGGGAAATCCCATGATCAGAGGAGCCTGGTGGGCTACAGTCCATGAGGTTGCAAAAAAAGTGGGACATAACTAAGCAACTAAACAACAGCAGCAACAACAAATAGAAAATTTAGAGACCACCGTGAGAGTTGAAGATAATGTATGTGAGAGTGCAATCCTAGTAATAATATGTCTTTTTAAAATTGTCTGCTTCCCAGGATCAGAATCCCACTCCTATTTGGGGGAAATCTCTGTTATTTTGGTCTTGGTGGGAGGCAAGTTCCAGACTTCAGCTATAGAAACTGGAGAGGGATACATCATTAGGCAGGGATCTTGATTGTGATCAACACAAAGTGGGATTATTTATAGATCATTGGGAGGGTGAAAGAAATGGGCCTCAGAGATGACCATGCCCCAAACTGTGCTGGAGAGCTGGTCCAGTAAGGAAATTTGGAGCTGCCATTGAGTCTTAGATTCTAGAGCTTATGCCCCTGGTAGGAACTAGACTTCTTGCTACAGTTCAGATGCCACTTCTGCATGGTTCTTAACCTTGCAACCAGCAACTCCACAAAATGGAAGCTCCACATAGAACCCATTTCCTTGTGTTGTCCTCTGTCGATGGGTGGAGCTAAGGTCACAGCTCTGGGCCACGACTTC